AAGAAATTAATTGACAACTAAATATATAGAAAAATTAGCCAGGCATGGTGGCGCATGCCTGTAGTCCCAGCTACTCGGGAGGCTGAGGCAGTAGGATTGCTTGAGCCCAGGAGTTTGAGGTTGCTGTGAGCTAGGCTGATGCCACGGCACTCACTCTAGCCTGGGCAACAAAGTGAGAAAAAAAAAAAAAAAAAAAAAGAGTCAGTCTTAACAAGCATCAGAGGCTATTGCTGGTTGCACTGCCTAATGGGTCACAATCATGGAAGGACATTTCAGACACTCTGACTGTATTAGCTTAAGCCTCAAGTGAAGGGCCAAGATGCTACCTATCCCATATCAATGTGGGCACAGAAAGGGAATGTGAAAAAAAATCCTATCATCAAACCAATCTGGGCTCAAACCTACACATGGCTGCAGTGTGGGCACGCGTGGGAAGGCAGGGTTTTGGTGTGGAGTTCTGCCTCCTCCCCAGACGGACTGCACAAGTCACAGCCCTCCTGTGCCCGAGTTTCTCCATCAGGAACGAGAACTGGGATGCTGAGCCTAGACTCATTCAGCAGACAGAGACAGGGCACCCACTATGTGCCTGACTCTAAACAAGGCACTGCAGGTCAAAGGCGACTAAAACACTTTGCCTATCATAAGGAAGCAGTTTGGAAAGAACCCTGCACGTAGAATCAGAAACCTCAGCTTCTCAGACTCAAATCACAACCCTGCCTCTGACCTACAAGCTACAAAGCCCCGGCAAAGTTACTGAACTTCCCTTAGCGTCAGTTTCCAAATATGAAAAATCAGGATTACACAAGCTCAGATGTGTGATAATGTCTGGCACAAAAAAGTAAGGTCTCAGATATCTGGATTAAGAGGGTCTCCTAAGGCCTTCACTGTCCAAAGTTCTAGCATTCAGAATTTCTCTCATTGTAAGAACTAGCGCCCCCTTCTGACACCCAGCAAGCACTGCCCGGGCTGTCGGAACACGAGAGCAGTTGAAGACACCACCGCACACATAGCAACAGGCTCACACATAACCTTCTGGGCAAGCCACCAGGCGCACACTGTCCCTGCAAAGGCCACTTGCTATGGAAAAGAAATTTCTAAATGGGAGCCCAACCCTTCCCAATATTTAAGCACTGGTCAGAAGCCTCCCACTGGGGAGATAAATGTTAAACTCGACAAAGAGCAGCTGTCACACATACCCCACCCTGTCCCAGTACCCACCCTCACGTCTCAGAGAGAAAAGGGTGTCATGTGTCTCCATCAAGCCTTGCCCATCAGTTTCTCAACAGACCCAGCTGAATTAAATTATTTTCTTTCTAAAAAACCCTAATCCTGCACCATCGCTGAAGGCCTGATTACTGGCAGTAGTTACTTTCAGAGTTCAGACAAAGGTGACATTTTGGTGAACAATTCTAAGAGGATTTAGCTCTCCTCCAATAAAATATCCTAGGGATAGGATTTCCAAAGAGTTGTGTTTTCATTACTCCACTTGGATACACCCAGTAACCAACTTCGGTGCCGTAGACCGGCTTCCCAGTAAATATAGGCGTTCTTCACGCAGCTCCTGCCATGAAAACCCACACATCTGCTGCAGTGAACTCAGAAAGCAGCGCCAGGCTACCGGGCTTCCACCAGCCCCGGGCTCTGCAAACACTGCTCAGGGGCACCCATGGGGCATTCACCGCCCACGCCACCCTCCCCAAATTGCCTGAAGAAGGAGCAAAGTTATGCAGCTCCAGGAGCCCAGAATGCATCCTAAACTGGGCGTGGTGACAGAGCTGCCAGCACAGGACAGGTCTGAAATGCCACCTAGACTCCAGTCAAAGCCTCATGCACACAGGTAGCAAATAAAAATCAGCATCCACCCCACACACACGAAATAAAAACCACCACCAAGCCAAAGAGGAGAGCTGGAATCCGGCTTGGACGAAAGACACGTCCTAGTCTAGCCTCAAGACAATTTCACACCAAATGGCTTTAAAATCCTTTGCAAAGCTCTGATGGCCGGATTGGAAAATAATTTATCTTTTTGACGGAAAGTCAGCAGTCAAAGCAGCAGTGCGAGTGTGTGAGTTCTTAGACGGGCGCAAACGTGGCGTGCGCCTGGACACGCATAGGGCAAAAACCTACCCATTCTTTCTGGGAAGGTCATCTCAACTGTGTGGCGCAGGCTGCTCTGGGTCACTCTAGAATGTAGTTATTATCACCACTGAACAGACTTCACAGCCGCACACAACCGGCACTAAGCTGCTATTCCCTGAGCCCAGGAAAATCTGTTTTTGCGGAGAACAGGCTCAGGGCTTGGGGATGGCGCCCCAGTCGTGGCACCCAAGGAACTACAGCCACCGCTTCCCCCAGGAGCTAAGGGCTTCGACCCAAATGGGAGGAAGGTGCTTTCTGCACACTTGCCTCGTCCAAGGGGCTCAGCAGTGGGAAACAACGCTGGGGCGAGGGCCGGGTCGCACGTGGCCCGCGGGCAGGAGACGAGCCCATGTGCCCAAGCCCTCCGCTCACGCTCCGCGCCCCCAGCCCCTAGCCCGTCGGGGTGGGGCGCCCCCTGGCTCGGCCTCGCCCTGAGGCCAGCCCAGAACTACCTGCTGCTGCCTAGGCGCCCTCAGGCCAAGTCTCAGGAAGTTCACTCCCCGTCGCGCTAGTCCGGGGAAGCTGGGCGCCCGGTAAACCCAGCCTGCCCTGGAGAGCCAGAGCCCACCCCTGCCCGGGTGCCAGACCCATTAACCTTCTTGGAGCCCAGCGTGCTGGTTCCGGCGGGGCTGCGGGAGGCCTCCCCAGTTACCCCGTGCGCCCCAGGGCCCGCGAACCCGGGGCGGGTGGCGGCAAGAAGGGTGCGCCCCAGGAGGGCGAGCAGCCCGCGCGGGGAGCTGGAGGTGGAGGGAACCTTGCCTCCCGCCTCCCCCGATCGCCATGACTCCGGCTTCCCGAAGACCTGGATGCCGCCGGGCGCTCCACCTGGGCTCCGGGTCCCCCGCCCTCCCTGCCCACCGCCCGGGCGCCCGCGGTCGGGGGCGCGCAGCCCAGTGGCCACAGGCGCCGGGTCTCGGCGAGCGGCTCCCAGGCTGCAGCCCGCGCAGCTCGGGACACCCTTCCCCAGCCCCACGCCCCCGGGCGTGCGGCCACCAGCCGAGCCAGCCCAATGCGGGGCAAGGTGGCTCGCGCGGCCCCCAGCCCGATCGGTGGGTGCCCCGTGCCGGGCCAACAAGTATGGGAGGGGAGGCGTTGTCGGCTACTCACCCGCCCACTCCGGACACGGGGGCCCGCGGCAGCCCGGGGTTTGAGCGCCGAGCAGAGGGGCGAGGACGCGGGGAAGAGGCGCGGAGAGCGAGCTGCGGGCGGGCGGCGGCGGCACTCACCTCTCGCTGGGCCGGGGCCCCGCAGCCCGGCTGCCGAGGTGCCTCCGCGCGGCGCGGGGGGCGTCTTGCGAGGCCCGCAGGGAGGGGGCGGCGCGGAATGGAGGCGGCGAGCGGGCAGCGCTCAGCCTCTGGCTCACACCCCCAGCCGGCAGCCGCGTCCCCGCGCCGGCATCCTCGCTGCCGCCGGCTCCCTAGGCGCCCCCGGGCCGCTCCCCACGCGCGCGCCGGGGCCGGCGCGAGCCCCTCGTCGGCTCGGAGCGCGATCTGGGCGCGTGCCTCCCTGTCCTTGTCCTCTGCTCCCGTCTGGGGACGCGTGCCCCGCACCCCCGGCACCGCGCGCCGCTCTACCCCTCCCGCGCCCGCTGGCCGCGCGGGCTCAGCCCATGTGCGCGGCTGCCTCGCTGCGCCCCGGAGCCCAGTGGCCGAGGCCCCGCCGGAGTTGCGCGCCCCAGAAACTCCATGCAGCTCTGGCCTCCTCCCGGCTCCTCCCCGGCGGGCCCCCCGGGGCCTTGCGGTCGCCCGCAGCGCCGCGCCCGCTCTGCCCCCGCCCGCGCGAGCAGCCCGGCTTCAGGGCTCGCCTGGGCCGCCGGCGCCCGGCTGCTGCGAGGGTCGGGACGCCCCCACCCCCACCCCGCGCCTCCCCAATGGCTCCCTCGGTTTCCAGGCAGCGCAACCTGAGGAACGCCTCGCCTCGGCGCGCGCGCACTCACACTCGCGCGCACACACACACACACACACACACACACACGCACGCACTGCACACACAGGCAGACACGCGGGGGGCGAGCTGGAGCTTGGCAGACGGTGCTCCTTCCTCTCCTCCCCAAAGAAGCTGCCCACGTTAACTCCGGCAAACTGCTGTTCCTGGGTATTGACAACTCACCCAAGCCCCCCCACCTTCACTGCCCAGCCCAGGTGCCCACACCCTCGGGCCACAGTGACACCTGTGCCCAGGGGTAGGGCAGGGGTGGAGGTGGAGGGGCCGGTGGCTGAAACTGCGGAGAAAGGAAAAGGATTTCGTGTGACCACCGCTCTCCCCATCAAGGGAGGCACAGCTGCGGCGGGACATCCCGGCCAACCTCTGATCCCACACCCCTGAAGCCTGAGGACACGTGACGTGGCCCCCACTTATTCCAAGGTCATGGAATGGATTGATGAGGGAGAGAGGGCGCTTGGACACAGGTGTCAGCTGGAAATCTTGCAGACCGTATGCAACCTGCCCCGGCGCTGACCTCTGCCGAGTCCATACCCAGACAGACCCCTTTTCTCCCCCCGGCCCCACGCCTCAAGGGCAACCCGTTTGCTTCAAGTCTCTGGTAACCTTTCCTGGTCCCCACCTGTCTGCCTCCCTGGTCCCCAGAAGCTGACGGAATACACAGTACAACCAAGGTTCGTGTTGGCAAGAAAAGCAAAGAATCAAAACACCAAGATGGGTCTCAGGCTGTCCCGTGGACAGAGTCAGACACCTGCCAGTCCCTTTCTGGTACCCCCAAGGCTGTGCCAAGGGAGAAGGAACAACCACTGGCGGGAGCAGGCCAATCTTTCCTTACAGCACTCTCCTTTCCTGGGTCCCCAGCTTCTTGCCCCTTCTAGGTGGCAGAAAGACCACTCACCAGTCAGATGCCTCCAATTCCCAGAATCAAAGAAAAGATGTCTGTGAAGACTCTCGCCCCAATCGGGACCAAAGGCAACGCCGCTATCAGCCTCTCATCCAAACAGCGCAGCAATCACCTCTCTGCTGACTGGTTCTGCTGCCAAGGGAGTTTGGGCATTTTCGCTGCCAGCTAGCTGCACAGTCAGGGTCCCCTTTGGGTCCGTGCCTTCTGGCTTGTAGCCTCAACATAGGTTCTAAGTCCCTGACCCACTCCCAGTGGGTATCATACCTTTGGCATTTTGCATTTACTACCATGTATTATTACTATCTTTCCTTATACAGACCCTACTTCCCAGATTATCTTATAACCTTCTTGAGCCATTAGCTGAGTTAATATACCTAGTGTAGAGATGTACATAGAAGGTATTTCCAGAGGTTTCCATAAAGGGTCACAGACAGGTGAATAGAGTTGGTGGGGTCTCTGTATGATCATTCCCTTAGTTTGGATGAAAGCTACATCTTCTAACAATCTATTATCTCTGTAAGCAATTGTTTTGTCACCTTCTGGATGACAACTGGGTCACCAAAGCCCCTTGGCATGTGTATACACACACATGGAGTTCCTGGTAAAATGTAGGGGTCCCCCACATAACCAGAGTGGGACACATCTGGGCAAAGCTCTCATTCTGACCTCACTTACTGCCTGTGTGAATTTGGGCAAGTAGTTTGTTCTTGCTAAATATCACCATCCGCATCTGTAAAATGGGCAGAATTATAAGATCTACCCCAGGAGGTTATTGTAACAGTTTCCTCAGGGAACTCAGTTCCAGCCATAACGTAAGCTTTCAATAAATGTTGGCTGTTGTCATTATTAGCGAGTAGTTAACACACATCAAAGACATTACCTTGAGGGGGATATGAAGGATCTTTTGCCCCAGGGCACTAAGCTCAAAGGACCTCAAGAACAAGAGAAGCAGAATGGCAGGCTTCAGTGATTTTGCCAACTATACTTCTTGGTCCTCACCAGCTATGACCATTGGGAAGCTTCCAGGGTAAGGGGGTTCAGGTTTACAGGCTTTTATACTCTTGCTCTTATATTCAATATATAGTCAAAATGTGTCAGTTCCTGCTTATAAAAATGACAAAGAAAAATCTTTTATCAATTACAGAATGGAGGCTAAAGTCAATACAGAATAAAGTGAATGGGAGACGCTTCCCTTTATAAGCATTTGTGGCTGCATTTGGCATAAGTCCTCCCTCTAACCTAGAATAAGACAGGAAACAGTTAGGAGTAGACTTTGACTTCCTTCTACCACCTGCCTGTAGCTTTGGGACTCAGAGTTACACTAATCAGACACCTGGACAATACCTTACCGGTGGCCATCGCTTTCTGAATGGCCAAAGTCATTCCCTCCACTACCTCTTCCATTCTTCTATCTTTTCTTTTTTTATTTTACTGTCAATAAATACATCTACTTCAAGTGCCCAAAACAGCCAAGAGTAGAGATTGATAAAAGGGTCCACTGTCCTCTGAATAGATATAGGTAGAAATAGGAAAAATCATCTGGGTAAGTATATGCCGGAGGGTAAAGTTTTTTATGTATTCTATCGCAGTGCGGAATATAGAATGCACTGGATTCTTCACAACACGCATGCTCTATTTTGTGGCTAGAGGTTTTAGAGTGCTTTGTTATGCAGCAACAGATAACCAGAACAAATTTTAGTATCTGGAAGCAGAGTGCTACTGTAACAGAAACTGAAAACATTGGCTTTGGGATCAGGCAATAGGGGAAAGCTTTCAAGTGCCCTGGAAGACTATCAATGAAAGTTGCAAGGGTCTCCAGAAGATTCTTGGAGAAGACATAAAGAACACAGAGAAAGAAAACTTATTAGAAGTGCTCTGAAGAGAAGAGCACCTGAGTCATGTCCTTGCAGAACAGTTAGCAAAGCTGCTGCCTGGAACAATGTAATATATGGAAAGAAAACCTAATGAATTCACGGACTAGGGCAATTTCCAAGTAGAAAATAGAAAATGCCAGCTGAATTTTTCTAGGTGCCTATGATGAAAGATAAGCAGAGAGAGATTAATTAGAAAAGCAGCTACTCGGGTTTTCTTTTTTAGTAGAATTGGGAGGAAATAGAAAGGAACCAGGACTTGCTGGGTTAGAAAGGACTACTGCTTCTCATTGTGGTATCTCCAGGGGAAAACTTTCAAATCCAAGGAAGTAAATTCTGGTCTCTGGATAAAGACTAAGTCAAGGATAGAGCCATAAGGTCATCTAGTAAGGCCTCAGACATATTGAAGGGCATGCCTAAAACAGCTTCTACCTATCTTAAAGACATTGTACCGCAAAAGCCTTGTAGAGAACTAAAGATAGAGACCTCCCTGTTCTTAAGGAGGTTTGTAAGTGTTTCCCCATAAAGGGTAACCCTTTATGGAGAAAAAACAGGGTGCACACATGAGTTGTCTCTTATGGGGAAGGAAGAATGACTCAGAGTAGAACCAAGAGCCCAACGGGTGAAGCCAAGAGCCGCAGGGAACATTCCCAAGAAGCGGAACCGGCCCCTAATGAAGAAACTGACGACATGAACTTCACCTGGGGTGGCTCATTCCCTACCTGAATCTACTTTAGATGCGACCCAAGACCTCAAGCCTGAAACCGATGCCGCAATGAAATGAGACTTTCTGAGGTTTGGAGATATTTGCCGGTATTTTTCACGTTGGAAGGAAGTCAATAATTATTTGCCAAAGGTGAATCTTTTAAGATGGCGAGTTAAAGATGGCCATAAATTCTTCAACATTCTTCTCATCAAGCGTTGTAGGTCTACATACATCTCCCTACCCTTGAATCTACACAGGATCCATGACTTCTTTAATAAATAAATAAGTTATTTTGTGCAACCTTCCAGGCCTAGGACTTAAGAAACTTGAAACTTCCATGTCCCGTCCTTTGGAGCACTCTCTTAGAGCCCTGACTCACCATATGAGAAGTCCAATTACCCTGCAGTCACCATGCTTTAAGACAGCCCAAGCTAGCTATTATACATGGAGAGTTGTGTGAAGGGAGAGAAGAAGCAAAATAGAGATGATGGGGGTAGAGACTGAGAGGGAGAGAGAAAGAGAGGGAGGGGGAGAGAGGGAGAGGGAGAAGGGGAGAGAGGTGGATCTGCCCTTCTCCCAGCTATTGTAGCCCCTGCTGTAAGAATCTTCCCAGCTGAGGCCTCAGCTATTGTAGAACCGAAATAAGCCACTCCTGCCATGCTTTGTCTGAATTCCCAACCCGCAGATCTAGAAGAGGCAGTAATAAATTGTTGTTTTACGTCACTTAGTTTTGGAGTGATTTGCTATGTAGCAATAAATAATCAGAATGATTTACTAACTTGGAAAGTTGTCAAAAATATATATTGTAAAGTGGGAAAAGCTAATTGCAAAACAACATGTATGACATTTTTGAAAAAGAAAACTTTGTATATGTGTTGCATGTACCATAATATATTTGCACAGAATAAAATTAAAATGTTATCTGTTAACTGACTAACTCTGGAAAAGTAGGTTGGCTGGACTTCTACATTTTAGACATGTATTATATGCATAGTCTTCAATAAACATTTTTAATATTGGCTTCATTTTTTCAAATGAGAAAAAAGTTCTACATAAATTTTATTTCAAAGCAATAAACATACAGGATGTACTTACAAGAAGAAGACATCACTGCCTTATAAAAACAACTAAGGTTTTACTCTGCTACAGGATTATTAATAGAAAGAGATTCTATTGACACACATGCTGAGTTTTTTAAATTTCTAGAATAAATAAAAATTTAGACAAGAAAAAAACAAGTTATCAACAAAGAAAAAAAAAAAAACAAGGTTGGTTTCAGGAGTATATACAACACCAGACAACAGAAGAAAAATGAGCCAATAAACTTAGAGTGCAAAATGGTCTCATCCAGGGCTTACATATCGAGT